GGAAAAGAAAGCGAGCCTTCCAGCTGCTGATACTGAGCTTTTTCTACCATACCTCATTGTCTCCCAGGCTAAGGTCAGAAGACAGTGTGGTTATCATCACATGAAGAAATCTGGTTTGGGTTTACTAAAATGCATTTGTAGTGTTTGGTGACCTACCTTTATTTAATTTATAGTTGCTTTTTTTGTAACAGTCTGGGATCCATAAAAAAATTTTTTTACATTTTAAAATGCTAAATTATAGAGCTGTGCTACCTAGTATGGTAGCTACTAATCACTTGCAGCTACTTAAACTTAAATTTTAATTAATTAAAATTAAATAAAAAGATTCAGTTTTTCAGTCACATTTGGTACATTTCGACTGTTTGATAATCACATGTGGCTAGTGGCTGGGGTAGATTACAGAAACTTTCCATCATCTCAAAACATTCTAAAAGTTCTATTGGACCGTGATGAGATATACATATCTATGTATGTATGTGTATGTATGTATATGTACATACACACATACATATACATACACGTGTGTGTGTGTGTGTGTGTGTGTGTGTGTGTGTGTGTATGGTGTCATCTCCAGAGACAGAAAACTTTAGAAAAAGTCAGAAAGATCTTCAGGCACAGTGCTGCCATCTGTCCAATATTAAAGGTACTTTAGGACTAAAAAAAAAAAAAAGATTAGAACAAAGAGGAGAAAGAAAGAGATGCCCTTAGTCACGGATGGATTCACCCAGAAAAAGGCAAAGGCATTTATTCATAATGTAGCCATTACTTACATTTAGCTCTTGAAATCTTTATGAGATTAAAATAAATTGATACCTAGAGGATCTAAACCCCTGAGAAGTATCTAAAGCAGATAGAAAAAGAAATAATTTTTAAAAACCACTTAGTTACAGGGGTACCTGGGTGGCTCAGTGGGTTAAAGCCTCTGCCTTCGTCTCAGGTCATGATCTCAGGGTCCTAGGATGGAGCCCCGCATCGGAGTCTACGCCCCCCACCCCCCACCACCTGCCTCTGTGCTTACTTGTGATCTCTGTCAAATAAATAAAATCTTTTTAAAAAAAATCACTTAGTTACAAACTAAGTTTACATTGGTAACAAACTAAGTTCTGCAATTCATTTAAATGATGCTGTTTACTCTCATACTTAGTAGATATTTTTCTTTGCTCTTATATGGTATGACACAGTCTGGATCTTTAAAAAAGAATTGTAATACTTCTGGGGACTTTTTAGATAAGTTCGCACAGCCACATAAAAATTACAGAAACAGATAAAAGTATCTTCTCACTAATTTACAAATTCATTCAAACTGATTATATAAAAATTCAAGAGTTCACAGTGAAACTCAAAAGAGCAAAAGAAAAGCCAAACAAATGCGTGTGTCACGAGTGGAAGTGGCTATTTTGCCAAATACTGACTGAAAATTGGTAATTTAAAAAGAGAGGGAAATAAACATAAATTCTGCTTTTCCAGAAGGAACTCTATTACAGGATAGACCAATAGTGAGGGAAATGCCCAGTTTTTAGAAAAATGCTAGCTGAAGCATATAGATAGAGAATTAAAAATCATTTTGAAACCCCTAATGAAATAATCCACTCAAGCCTGGATCACTAATGGAAGCTAAAACAACTGAGTAAAGGGTGACAGGAACTGGATATTCACATGGTACAAACCTCACCCCACAGGCTACTGGCCAGTTCCAAGGGGGAAAGTACTGGAAGACAGAGGCAATCACCACAACAGCCCTATAGTCATCTCAGTACCATGAACATCTGGTCAACCAGAGATTGTTTCCTAACACAATACAACATGAATATACACCATCACCTACGAAATAGTCTTGCCAAAAAAAGAAAAAAAAAATGTTGCGCGTGAATCTAATTAAGCCTTAGAACTCAATTCTAGTACACACACACACACACACACACACACACACACACACACACACGAATATCATGAAAAGTTAAATGACAACATAAAAAAAAAATCAGAAAATTCCAGAAAGTGGGACCGAGGGAGGCATTCTACAGGACAACCAACCGACCTTGTCTCTTCAATAAGTCAATTTCATTAACAGAAAAAAATAAGGAGGGAGATATTTTCTAGGTTAAAAAAGACTTAAGACATAACCAAATGCAATGTGTGTTCCTTGATTAGAAGAAAACTAGTTTGAAAAAACAGCTATAAATGACATTTCAGAATAATTGAGGAATCTGAATGTAGAATGGGTAATAAATGAAGAAATCCTTTTTTTATTTTGTTTGGGATGATAATGATATTGTAACTATCAAGAACATTGTTCTTAGTTTTTAGAGATCTATACTGAATTTAGGGATAAAACGTCATTTTTAAAATATACTTTAAAATACTTTAGCCCTCAAAAAAGATGGAACAGATATAGGAAAAATAATAACAGCCTAGGGTGTGGGCATATGGAAGCCATTTATCTATTCTCTGCTTTTCTGAAAGTTTGAAATATTCAGAATTTTACAATAAAAAAATTTTTATCCCGAATTGTACCGGCTATATGTCGGAGAATCTATTTCAAACTCTATGATATATTAAGATATAAGTGGCAGTTCATCACTTTGGAAATTCCAAACTTCTGTCCTCCTCTAGCAATTATATAATCAAAGAGCAACTACAGTTGGTTATATTAAACTGCATAGTAAAATTAACTTTATCAAACCCCAAATCTTTCAAATATAGAGAGGCAGCCCTCTCACTCAGGTTCAAGTCAGTTCAAAGAGAATAAATACTATTTTTGTACTATTTTTCTAACCCATTTATGAATACCCCATGGGAAGTCAAGGGAGGCAAAGTTTTTGGAACCAAGGGTCTTCATTCCTATCAATTTGCCATCATTCAAGACCAATTTTGCTCATGGTGAACCCCCTTTCTCCTGAAGCCAGCCTTCCGATTGTTCATTTGCCCGAGCAAAAGCCCTCAAGAAGGTGAACAAAATGAGAAGACTGGTTTAAATTGGCTGCCTGAACCTTTGATAAATGTTGGCCATTCCCTTCACTCCTACCCACCCATTTTGGAAATAACACTTTCAGATTATTTAGGAGATGGTGCTTCTGTGTGGATTGTAACTTGTCATTCTGTCCCTTGTAACAACCACGAGGTTAAGTGTGGCTCTGTTTTAACCATTTATTAACATATGCTACCTATTGCCTAAAATAAACTCCATCTTAAACTTAATAAGATGTGGTTATCAGAGAAGCATTGAAGTAAGAAGTTGAGGAGACTTGATGGGAACATGTGCCAAGAAACGAGAAAGCATAGCAATACCTTGCCCGTGCAAATCGACAACTGTAGCTTCAAAAATATCCTCACCCACAATAAATAAGTGGATGTTTTTCTCCCTCCCTAAAAAAAAAAAACTGGCCCAGGAAGGAGTACGCAGAGAGCTGCCCTACCTCTCCCAAGGCTCCTTATCCTCCATCACCCCATGGGAAAAGCTTTGTCAGACAAGAGTAAAAGACTATTTGTCAACCTCTCTCCAACTCCCTGATTCAAGCCAACTTTTATCAATCCCAAGTAAGGAGCCAGAGAGAAATAGTAGTGCTGTATCACCAGCCACATCGTCTTCTGAGGTTGGAAATCCCAGCTCTACCACCCATACCACCCCTCAGCGCTTTCTCCCAATGCTTTTGGGTTATTTTATTTAGGAAAAAAAAAAAAATACTTTCCCTACCCCTAAAACACTGCAAGAGGGGAATCAGAGTACACAAACATGGAGCATGGGCAACACCAAAGACTAAAAAAAAGAAAGAAAGGAGGAAAGAAAATTAAAGGGATGGGGTTGGGAAGGAGAAAGGGAATCCATACCCCAGAGAGTTGTTTAGTTTCACTTTTTTTAAATGTTCACACTCATTTATACATCGGTAGGGATTCCACTTAAATGTGCTATGCGTTGGGTTCTGGCTCAAATGATTCTTTTAGACAATATTTCCCACAAAGACGGCTGAAGTGAGGTGTCCCTCTTGCAGAAGTCCGCAGAGGCTGCGGGATTTGGGAAGGAGGACAGGGGGATACTGGATGATGCCAGAAGGTGTTTCTAGCTGTAGGACAGAAAAGAAGGAGGAGGAGAAACCTCCAAAGTCCGCAGAGGTGGTGGGAGAAGAGAGAGGAAATGAGGATGAAATCTGAAAGGGAGAAGAGGCACAAAATGCTATCAACTGCCAGAGAGTCTTTCGCAGAGTAGTGAGGAATTGCTTTAAGAAAGGCAGAGCAAGTCTAATTTCAGATTGTTGAGAGATACCGCTCCCCCCCACGACACACACAGAACTGAGGGCAGAGAGGCTGTGTGGCGCTGAACTGATCTTCACCCCAGCCCTGCAAAAACCAGATGAATAGTGAAGTAATTCCACTGGGTTAACGAACCACTTACACTAAAAGTCTTTAGGGTCCACTCTTGCCAAACATGCCAGGAATCGACACTGGAGTGTGTGTGTGTGTGTGTGTGTGTGTGTGTGTGTGTGTACACACGTGTTGTGTTTGAGACACTACTGTTAGATCTGGGAGAGCCAAAACTTAGAGTGGGAAGAAGAGGACTGCAAATAGGGTACAGGAGAAAAAAGAAGGAAAGGGGCGGTGGTGGGGGGACCACTATGTTGGTAGCTTAGGAAAGAAGTGGGGGTGGGGAAGGCAGGGTAGTAAACCGGTGAGAACCGGTAGTTTTAAAGGGCTGGGTAAGAGGAGGCCCAAAAGGAACGCGGGCAGGTGCGGGCCATGGGCAGAGAGCCGGGAAGAGCTCAGGACGATGTGGCAGGTTCCCTCCAAGTGGAACCCTGAAGGCCTTTCGAGGACCTCAAGGAGAGGACCTGGGGGTGCCGCTACGCCGGGGTGGGGGTGGCAGTGGCGGTGGGGGTTGGGCATGCGGGGGTGGGGGGCGGCAGGCAGGAGGGGCAGGGCGGGGACCATGGGCGGCGGCGGCTGCGGCTGCGGGTGGTGGCGGTGGAGCGGTGAGAGGTTAGGGTCAGCGGGGGCAGGTCACTCACCCCGTTGGCCGCTGCCATCTGCACCACGATCTCGGTGGCCGTCCTGCTGAAGTACCTGCCGTCGCTGCCCACCACCATGGTGCAGCCCTGGCGGTCGCGCAGGTCGATGGACGACAGCACGCTCTGGATGAAGTTGGGCAGGTAGTTGCGCTGGCCCTCGAAGAGGCCGGTAGGCCGCCGCAGCCCCCCGCCGCCGGCCGGCCGCTGGTCCTCGTAGGGCACGGTGGGCACCGTCAGCACCGGGATGGGGCTCCCTTCCATGGCGCCTCCTGGCTGGTCCTGCCGCGGCTCCCGGGAGCCGGAGGGAATCTGCAGCCCGCCGGCCCCCCTGCTCCCCACCAGCTTGGCTACGCGCCCGGGCTCCGCCTCGCGCCCCGGCCCCGGCCCCCTCCGCAGCCCTGCGCCCTCCCGCGGATCCGGCAGTCCTCCCTCTCCGCGCCGCCCGGGCAGAGTTTGGCCTCTACCTTCCAAGAAAGTTTGCTCCCGCCCAGCTCTCTCTGGAGCCGGATCCCCCGAGGCGCTGGCAGTGTCGGGACCCTGCTGGACTCACTTAAGGCGGGGGTGGGGGGGGGATGCCCCAGAGCCTACTCCCAGGGCCGGCCAGCCCGACCCCGGAGACCCCAGTCGCCCGCCTGGCCCCAGCCTTCCCGGTGACCGCTTCCCTCCCGAGCACACACACCCTCTGCTAGAAAACAGCTCGGGGGCGGAGGCGAGCTCGAGCGGGACTTGGGGACCTCTCCCAGACCCCCACTCCCTCTCCCCTCCCACCGCAGCCCTGTCTCCCGGTCTCCCTGCAAGTGAGCCTTTTACAAGCCCAAGTTTCTCTTTTGAACAAGGACGAGGGAGGGAGTTGGGAGGGGGCTGAACCTTTTGCCACCAGCGAACAGCCCTGGGCCAAAAATAACCCTGGAAAGGCGAACTGAGAATTGTTATCTTCTGCCAGCGCTGAAATTGGAGGCTGAGCGTTGCATGTGTGTCTGTGTGTGTGGGTACACACCCCACCACTACCATTTGTTGCCGGGAATCACAGACTGTCAGGCCCTTGAACCCGGCAGGACCCACCCAGCCGTCCACACTTTTCCCTGGGCTCTCTCAAGGCAGCCCGATCTGCAGCGTGGAAACTCCCCCCGCCCTTGTTTGTTGTGGTGGTTCCAAGGACAGCGACAGAGACATTATTTCTTTCTTCTTCCTACTCCTCACCCTCCCTAGCCCAGCTCCTGCTTAGAAACGGGCTGGTCCCACACTGTTTGTCCACACTGCTGAGCTTTGGGCGGGGATGAATCACTTTCCATAGGAGAAGGGTAGAGTCCTTCTTAATACCCTGCCAGGAATGAATGAATGAACTCAAACAAGGACAAGATACCAGGAACTCTCCTGGGTCCTTTCCATGCATCTTCTCATTCTGCAGGGGCAAGGGATGGTCTGCCTTGTCTGCATAAAGCCCACTAAAACCCAAAACAAGAAATACTCCATAGAAAACAGAAGTAAAGAGACAATGGACCGAAAGGATAAAACCCAAACAGGAAGAAACTATTATTTTGTTTTGGGTTTGGGTTTGGGTTTTTTGGGGTTTTTTTTTTTTTTTTTTTGGTTTTTTTTTTTTGGTGGGGGGGGGCTTCTATCACCTTTCACTCTCCAAGCATTTTTGCACCCACTAAGGCTACTGTCCTGAAATCTCCTGCTTCTTCTCCCCCCCCAATACTGTCCACTTACTGGGACTAAACTTGACTTGGTGCAGGGTTGGAAAAGCATTCGATCACAGTAAAATGAGTGTAATAGGAGGTCACACTTCCATGCTGTTTTGCATACAAAGGCTTTGCATCTGTTTTCTCTCTGTAGGCTCAAAGCAAAAGAAGAAAGCATGGCATTCATATCATTTCCATTTTACAGATGTGAAAAGGGAGGCTTTCTGTGAGATCAAGGGAGTGGCTAAGATGGCATTTGCAGTCAGTCTGAATTCTTGTATGGCCCCTCCTGTTTTTGTTAATATCATTGAAGTAGGAGACGAATCCAATGTAGCCACTAATGGAATCTTGTTGGGACTTCTTAGCTAGCCTCTTAAACACCAAAGTTGGGTTGTCATTGTGGGGTGTTTTTTTTTTAATATATTTTTGTTTTTGTTTTCCTTGGGTCCCCAAGAGCCCATTCCCCTGTAGCACCCAACAGAGAGAACCTCCACTCTTCTAAAGATCTGTGTACATCCCTATGGCATAGAGGTTTTTAAATCACTGTCTAATAACATTTTCTTTTGCAGGGAAGGGCAATATCATTTCCAAAAGAGAAGGTAGCAAATCCTCTGCCCCTGTAAAGAAGAGAAGGGTTCGGCCTCAAAGATGACCAGAAGATCTACTTCTCCATCTCTCCACCTCCATCATTGTTTCTCCTACCAAAGCCTAACTCCTTCCATAGGGCTAAGGACAAGGCATCCATATCTCAGAGAAGCTTTTACAGTTATACCAACTAAGAGAGGGAAACCTCTTCCCTTGGTTCTAATCCCCATATTCCCAAAGACTCTGGTCCAGCTCAAGGCAAAGTGTACAACCACAAAGCCAGACCCCACAGTGTCTTTGGAGTTCCTCCAAAGTAAGGGGACGCTGTTCCCCAGAGGGAGGAGAGATGGGCAAGCAACCATAACTGTCCACCACATAATTGACACTTGGACTGATCAAGTCTTTCAAGACTTATTTTTCTTTTTGCTAAATTCATACAGCACTTTGCATCATTGATAAGAAACACTCACAGGCCTTTCTATGTACGCCTTCTCTCCGCCAGCTGACCTTGGAGTATTTCCTTAACCTCTCCTCACTTGAGTGTCCTCACTGTGAAATAAGAATCATTATCATCCTCACCTCACTCGTTGTTGGGAGGATTAAAGTGCATGGTTTAGGGCCTGACATACAGAAAGGCATTCGTTAAAAGATGTTCACAGTATCCCCATCAATATCGTATTTATCATTATTATGAATGTCCTCTGTAGTAAGAACTAATTTATATCTTTGTGGGGACCACCACTATACAGAAAGGGGCTTTGGGCATAGGTGACATTCTATACACATTGGTTGAATTAATCTGTGGTTTTTGACAACAGAAATTCAAGAAATATAGAGTAAATTTCCCCTTGAAATGTATAAAAGGGATTTAGCAACTAAAGAAATCTCTTCAAAGCTGCCCTCAAAGTTGGTCAAGTTAGTTCCAATAACTGTGTTACAGTGGTGGGGAAAGGAACCTGAGAGGGCCTGCAGAAGAAATGCCTTGTCCTTAGCGGCTCACAGTAAAAAGAGAAGGTCGGATTAGATCAGTGTTTCCCAAAGGACTTTCCTCAGAACCTGTTGCCTCCCAATCCTCACAAAGCAGAGCTGCCTGGTCAAGCAACCTGGAAGTCCTCCACACTCTACTTCATTCTTGGAGCTTTGCAATGCACATTTTCCTACAAAAATCTCTGTGAGCTTTTAAACTGGTTCTTCCCAAACTCACATGCCCACTTTGTCCAGGGAAAGCCCCAGACTAGCTTTGTGACTATAGCCTGGAGACAGTCCCGCTTCCCCTTCATCTGTCCCCAGGGGGCGAGGTAGGGGATGAATAGACTTTCCTGATTTTAAAGGGCGGGTCACCCCTTCGTGTTAGGTTGGCACTTCCCTGCAGTGTGGTTCACAATGAAGGGGAGGCCTGTCTGCTGAGGTGTCTCTCAGCCTTCTCTGAGCCTCTAGGGGAAAGGCATCTCACTGAGAATTCCTGGCATGTAATAGGAGCAACTGATCTATCTTTCCTTCCCTTTGGGACTTCCTGGCTCTCAAAAAGGTGTCAGCCATGCTGCCTCAGCTAGACCAGCATTGTCTACAGAAAGACTTGGAGGGGGAGTGGTGTGGAGTGAGTTTTGCAGATTCACAAAGCACGTTGGCATATTAAAGACCCTGAGGTTTCACAGAAAAGAAAACTATTCAACTTTAACCTAGCATTTCCACATCTTATCTGACCATGGTCAAGTAAGGTCTTTGGCAAAACACCTATTAACAGATCAAGGACATGAATATTCCATGAAACACTTTAGATCTCTGGGGTCCCTTCCAGCTACATCAATCTATAATTTCCTTTTTTACTTGTGAGGCATTAAAAGATTAATTTCTCTCAGGCTTCCCTGTATGAACTTATCAGAAGGTACCAAGGGGAAAAGGCTGAACTGCCCATTTTTAAAAAAAAAAAAATTATCTTGAGAGATTTTGAGACTTAAAATGAATTAAATATATGTACAGATTTGTTTTTATATGTTCCGTTCTCCCATACACCTCCCGGTGCACCACCACCGCTGACCCACTGCCAGCAGGAAAGACTGGCACGCATATTTGGCCTGTGCTGATTACACACACCTGTCAGTCAGGGTCCATGTCTGTGCACACGGGGAATGGTAAAAATAGGCTGTTGGCTCACTGATGCTAAGAGCAGAAGAAATACCAAAAGTACAGGACAAGAGGCAGAAAAGCAGGTAGAAAATCTCCAGGGCGGACATCTTGGATGTACTCATTTTAAATCTGCCCCAAGAGCTTCTGGTGATGGGGAAAATCAATTACATATTTCTCTTAAAACACACCGCTTTCCACCAAACCTCTGTTCCCTAGCAAAGGAAATACAGATCATAATTCCAACAGAACTTGCTGCTTCTCCAGCCCCCTCCCTAGAAGGCCACTGAGTGAACGTTCGAGGAATGTAATGTGGGAAACAGAGGCAGAAGAAATGTTGTTCAATTTCCTTACTATCTAGAGCCACTGACAAGTCCTTGAAACAGGCAGAGTGACATTCGTCTAGTGACTGAACTGCCTCCACCTTAATACTATGCTAAGGGCAAAAGGCAATCCTAGCCTGGCTGCCTCTCCCACCCTAACCAGGATCCTGTAAGTCTACTTTAACATATAAAAATTCCTTTGGAAACTTCCTTTATCTCTAAACCCTCCAAGAAACGTGCTGGCAATCATCCCCAAGCATATGATGATATATACACCTGAAGGGTCTCACGACTAAGGTTTTATTAGATGGTAATAAATGACCTTTTCCCAACAGCTAGCACCTCAAGGTCCTGGAAACCTGCTTCCAAAATTCCTTTGAGACTAACGCCATCCCTGACCCCCTCCCAACTTGCAAGTATATAATGGACCACTCCTCAGAGCCCAGTGACTGTGACTCTTCCTGCCCACGGGTCCTGTCCCCATGCTTTAGTAAACCACCATTTTGCACCGAAGACATCCCAAGAATTCTTTCTTGGCTGTGGG